TCATTTTGCTGAATGAATTACTAAATGAACGATGAATGAATGGCAGGCAATCTGGTTTATTTAATTGTGTATGCTTTTCAGCAGATGGTAGAACTTAGGGGTGTATTCCCCACTCTCGTCACTTTTCAAACCTTGCAAACTTCATTCTGATTTTCTCACACCTGTCCACCCTCTCTTGGAACACACTCAGTTCCCAAGCTATAGCCATGTTCCAAAATGAAATACCACCACATTGAGTCAAAGGAAATAAAATCAATTGATGCATCATATTTTGAATGAGTGTTGGCAAACACGAAGTCTGGCAGACAGATGGGATTCTACAAAGTAGGTACAGATGGACCAGTCAGCCCAGAAGGGAAATCTTTCAATGTTTGTTTGAAGAAAACACAAATGTTTTATTTCTGTACAACTTTCATTGTTGTTATTGTTGAAGTTGATATTTACAAACCGTGAAAATATCTTCAGAAGTATGAGACTTGTTACAAATACCTGCTTACTTTGTATTATTTGTTCTTAATCAATCTTCCAGAAGATATTTGTTTTAAAGTAGAAACTCACAAAGTTACCTTTATTCTATCAGTATTATTACACTTTAATTCAGAATTAATGCAAAGATTCCTAGCATAATAAACGTTAAATATTTTTATTATTCCAGAAGAGAGTTTTTCTGAGCAGATTTCTTAGAGTCAGATAACAATACAAATATTTTAGCTCCTACGAGTGATTGAAATCATTCCAGAATTAGAAAATGCAATTTTTAACAATTTCATTACTTTAAGAAGTGTAGAGTGTGTCATCAAAGGTGCTGATTGCAGAGAGAAAGACACTATAGAAACATAAACCTCCTGAGAAACTAAATCAATTGCATAAGGAAGCTCTGGTCCAAATGGTGCATTTTATTTTAAATTTGTGGGTCTTGTGAGCTAGAGCTAAGTGTGCAATCACAGGCATTACTGTTTTATGTTGCTTTTAACACCATCCTGGGAAGAAGCAGGACCTAACTCTATGTTTCGTAGAATTAGCATTTCTTACTGCTCAATAAATATTTAATAATATGATATGCTAACCATATTAATGTGTTGAATATTTTAATTTCCTGCATTCCTTTGTGATTTAACATTGTACTAATGAAAATTTTTTAAGAGTCTAAACTTGGGAGAACATAGAAAAAAACTTAGTTGTAACTTTGACAGCCAAATGGCCCTCTCCCTCTTGAAACTGAGAAGTTGTTTGAATTAGCTGGTTAGCTCCATGGAATAGGTTTACTCTTATGACATTGCTATTCACAATGAAACTTACTGTTTTTAAAGAACAGAACTTCAAAGGAAGACCCCCATTTACAACTCACTCAGAATGGACATAAGGTGATTCAATTATCGTTTTAAGACCCTGTGTCTTTATTCTGGACAATAGCTTCCACCTATTGTGTCAGCTTAGGTTCAAGTTATAGAAAATAGCTTGCTAGCACCAGTGGGAAACAGAGGCAAACACCTACTACAGGTGACTTTTAACCGATAGGTCTCATTTATCTCTCAGTACCCTGCTTTTGAACTTACAAGACCACTGTCTGTCCCTGTTGCATATAATTCGTAATTTTTCTAATGTGGTAGGAGGCAGAAGACATAAAAGGTTGCAGTAAGTTTTCATAAAAGAAACTCCAACATGAATGCAGAAATAGTCCAGGAAATCTGTTCCTCTGGAAAATTAGTGGACAATACTCAACTGTATAGACATACGTTTCTCAAATCATAACAATTGGGTTGTTATTTGGTGGTGACAGTTATGGACACAAAAAATGTATAATAAGTATGCAATAGAAATTTATCCATAACAAAATCAGGACAACATTCAGCTGCAAAATAATATTATATAACATTCTTACAAAGAAATTCTCATCAAATTTAACTGTAGAGATATTTGCTTTGCCTAAAATTACATAAATTCTGCATATTTTTCTGTAACCATAAAAACATTAATTTGTAGCATGCTTTACTTTTCTCTTTGTTCAAACTGGTTTATTAGTTAAGTTCTGGTAGAAAATAAGTAGACTGTGTTAAAGATTTAGTTATCACAAGGGATAACCTAAGAAACAGAACAAAGATTTTCCCAATTTTTCTGAACTCTTTGATATGGATCATAAAATGTTATAAAACCCTTCAAGTAGAAAATATTTATTCTCAGGAGGTGAACAGGTCATTCAGTTGATAAATTTCAATATACTCTTTTATATTAAAATGTATTCAAAAACACAAGTTAATTTTTATCTTTCTTTAAGGATTAATCATTACATTATTTCTGTGTTCCCTTTTTCCTCATAGACTCACACACACACACACACACACAAACACACGCACCTCTTTATTTTAAATATTTTAAATCAAATGTTTCTTCATTATCATCATCTTCCTCCACAATTATAACATGGCTTTTTCAAACCAATAGTTGTTCTCACTAATCATCTTCAAATTTCATTGCTTTTCCTAGCATTACTGTATTTCCATTCTTTCCCCAGGTTCTCTGAAATAAAAATATTGATGTGTTTTCCTTTTTAAATTTTTATTATTATTTTTTTGAAAATCGTCTATTTTGAAATAATCATACATGCACAGAGATCTGCAAAAATTTTATAGAAGACTCTTACGTAACATTTATCCAGATTTCCTCAGTGATCATTATATAACTATAGTGCAATATTAAAACCAGTAAATTTACATGGTACACTATGTGAATATAATAGCGCTATGTCATTTTAATATTTGTGTGGATTCATAAAACCAGCACAGCAATCAAGATACAGAATTATTCCATTACTAAAAATAATTATTATCTTACTCCTTTATAGTGACACCCACCCTCCCTCTCCCCATTGTCCCTGCTAACACCAGCAATCACTACATTGCTCTCTTGTCATTTCAAGAATGATACATATATGTAATCAAAGAGAATGTTTCCTGTACATACTGGCTTTTTATTTTACTCTAGCCCCTGCATAAGTCTGTTGTTTTTCTGATTTTTAATTGACATATTTATACCCTTTACATTTAATGTAATTACTGATATATTAGGACATATTTCTGCCATTTCATTTCTGTTTTCTGTCTGTTCCCTTTATTTTTTATTTCTCAATCCTTTCTATAGGTTATTTGAACATTTTAAAAAAATCCATTTTGATTTATCTATAGTGTTTTTTAGTGTATCTATCAACATATGTTTTAGTGTTTGTGCCAGTTATTACATTATATATTGTTTTGTTAAGGTTCTCTGGAGAAACAGATCCAATAGGTTATATACAGATATATAATGGAAGCTTTATTATAAAAATTTGCTCCTGCAATTATGGCATCAGATAAGTCTCACAATATCCCCTCTGCAAGATGTGGAAACAGAAAAGCCAATCATATAATTCAGTTTGAGTTAAAAGGGGAGCCTGAAAACTAGGGGAGTCAATGATATGACTTCCAAGGTCAAAGACCTGAGAATGGGGTTTCACTGGTGTAAGTCCCAGAATAAAAAGGCCAGAGAACTAGGAACGCCATGGTTTAAAAAAAGGTGAGGATGGATGTCCTTGCTCAGGTAGCTGGTGGGGGCAGGCGGGGGGGGGAAGAGAGAGAGAGATTGAGAGAAAGACTGAGAGAGAGAATTCACCCTTCATCCATCTTTTTGTTCTATTTGGGCAAACAGATTGGATGATACCAACACGACTGGTCAGGGTGGATCTTCTGTACTCAGTCTACTGATTCAAATGCTTATTTAAATTTACTAGCTATCCGAGCATTCCTTAGCCCCATGAAGTTCACATAAAAATTAACTATCACGTATATATCCACTTTATTACAATCTACTGGTGTTAACACCTTATGAGTTTAAATATAAGAATCTTACCTCCCTTTATCTAAATTCCTTTACCTTCACTCATGTATAACATACTTACATATTTCCTCTATGTACACTGAGATACACATTTGACAATGTATTTTCTGCTTCAATTCTCAAACATATTTTAGGAAACTTGAGAGAAGAAAGCCTATTTATTTAACCATGTTTTTGTTCTTTTCATTGTTTTTTCTACTTTCCTAATATTCCAAGATTTTTTTATTACTTCCTTTTGGTTTAAAACTTAATTTTGTTATTCTTTTAGAGGTTACAAATTCTCTTAGTTTTTCTTCATCTGAGAATGTCTTTATTTCTCCTTCATTTCTGAAGTTGACTTTTGCCAGATTAGAACTATTGTTTGACATTAATATTTTTTTTAGCACTTGAAAAATATGCCGTTTTCTTCTGGCCCCCATTGTAATGATGAGAATCCACTGTCATTTAAATTGTTTTTCCCTTATAGTTAAATTGTCATTTTTTCTTTCTCATCACTTTCAATATTTTCTCTTTGCTTTAATTCGGAAGTTTAATTATGATCTGTGTTGGAATAAATTTCTTTGGGTTATCATGTATGGAATTCTTTCAGCTTCTTGAATTGGTATGTTTATGTCTTTTTTTTTTTTTTTTTTAACCAAACTTGGAACTTTTTCAGGCTTTTGTTAAAAAGTAATTTTTTAGTCCCATATTCTAGCTTTTCCCTTCCTGTGACTTGAATGACAAAAATGTTAGACCTTTTGTTATAGTTCCACAAGCCCTTGAGTTTTTGCTCTCTTTTTTAATGTCTGTCTTCTCTTTGTGAGTGATACTGGGTAATCTCTCTTGTTCTGTTTCAAATCCAGTGATTCTTTCCTCTGTCCTCTCCATTCTATTGTCAGTTCTCACCCACTGGGGGTTATTGTATTGTCTTTTTCAATTCTTACATTTCCATTTGTTTTTATAATATCTTTTATTTCTTTGCTAAAACATTCTATTTTGAAAGGCATTTCAAGAATATTGATAATTGATTATTTATGAATTTTATAATGTGGCTTTAAAATTTTTGCCAAATAATTCCAACATAAGTGTATTCTCATTATTGACATTTGTTGATTTTGTTTTCTCATTCAAGTTGAGATTTTCTGAGTTTTTGAGATGATGAGTAATTTTTGAAAATCCTAGATGTTTTTGGTATTATATTAGGAAACTGTAGATGTTATATAATTTTTTGTTTTAACCCCGTTAAAAAGTGAGCAAAGGACAAGAACAGACACTTTTCAAAGGAAGACATACATGTGACCAACAATCAAATGAAAAGCTCAACATCACTGATCATTATAGAAATGCAAATAAAAACCACAATGAGATATTATCTCAGATCTGTCAGAATGCCTATTAGTCAAAAGTCAAAAAATAACAGATGCTGGCAAGGTTGTAGAGAAAAGGGAATGCTTATACACTGTTGACGGGAGTGTAAATTAGTTCAACTGTTGTGGAAGACAGTGTGGTGATTCCTCAAAGAACTAAAGATAGGAATACCATTCAACTGAGCAATCCCATTATGAGGTATATGCCCAAAGGAATATAATTTTTTCTGTTATAAAGACCATATGCACACATACGTTTATTGCAGTACTATTCACAATAACAAAGAAATGGAATCAACCTAAATGTCCATCAATGGTAGACTGGATAAAAAACAAATGTGGTATGTATACAACATGGAATACTATGCAGCCATAAAAAAGAGCAATCTCATTTTCTTGGCATAGACATGGTTGGAGCTGGAAGCCATTATCCTTAGCAAACTAATGCAAGAACAGAAAACCAAACCCTGCATGTTTTCACTTATAAGTGGGAACTAAATGATGAGAATACGTGAACACACAGAGGAGAACACCACACACTGGGGCCAATCAGAAGGCGGATGGTAAGAGGAGGAAGAGGATCAGGAAAAGTAACTAGTAGGTACTAGACTTAATACATGGATTATGAACATATCTGTACAACAAACCCTCGTGACACAAGCTTACCTAAATAGAAAACTTGCACATGTACCCCCGAACTTAAAAAAAATTAAAAAGCAAAAAGCCTTCATACATTAAAAAAAATTCTGTTTTAGCTGGTCTCCTTAGGTACTGAATTTTATTTACTTTACTTTTATTCATTTAGTAATTGATGCACATATCTCTGTGTGTGTGTGATTGTGCATATGTGTGTGCTGCTTTTGAAGTTTCATCAAAGACAAATCAGAGCTCTTTTTTCCTCTGTAAATTCTGATATATTGTCTTTTACACAGATTGTATATTAATGTGTGTTTTTGAAAAAGTGACTGTTGAAATGAAAGCCAGCTGCAAGAATTCAACCCAGAAAATGTATTATTCTACAAGATAGAAAGTGCTTACTGTGTGTCATCCAGCAAGTCCTTTTGCCTTTCTAAGGCTCAGCTCTCATGTAGTTTTGTGAGCACTTTCATATAGGCACATGAAGATATATTGATTTTGAGTATCACTTTTGTGGATTTGTAATATGGTCTTCTTCCTTTTCTTCTTCATCATCATATTATTATTTTTATGTAATCTTAAAATATCTTTCTAATATTTGAGGAGATAATTACTCTACATTTTAGTGAATCACAACCCTTGATACTTGACATTTATGTTTGTAAATCAACAGTTTTCTGACTGTGAATTAGGCAGTTTCTCATTCTAATTAGCAGTTGTGCTCTGACAAAGTTGATTTGGCATTGGAATGTTGTGAACAACCAGTTCATAAGACAGTAATCTAAAAGGAACATGCATGTCAGGTTATCATTTTAATTAGTTCTCATGAGCTGAGCTGCCTGAATAACATAATGCCAAAATATTTCTTCTCTTCTTAGCAGTGATTGAGACAGGTGGATGACTGTTATAACAGAGTTGGTAGAGCAGAAGGAACATATAAGAAGTATTTTCAAAGTGCCATTTGTTAAAGTCTTGGACACAGGCTAATTTGCCCTCTTGTAAAATTTAAAATTTACCCTCAAGTAAAGTTTAAAGTGAGTAAAAAAATAACTATGAACATGCACAAGATATAAACATATGTATTTATATAAATATATATATTTATAATGAGAAAATTTGGATCATGTGTCTAATAATGATATAAGTCATCTTAAAGAAACACAATTTTATACAATAGAATGAGCATGAATTTCTCTGGGCTATCTAAAGAATTTAAGCTGAGAAAATAAGAAAAAATGAAAATTAGAAATTAAAACATTATGGAAATTGGAGTTAGTTAATCTGTACATATTAGCATTATCTTACAGGATTTTATAATAAGCAAGAACTTAAATGATAAATGTGCTAATTTTTCACCATATAAATATTAATTTTATGTATTGTATGTATTGTATTAATTGTATGTATTAATATAAATATTAATTATAAAATTGATATTTTAGTACTAGTTTTCTTCATCTACAGGTTCAGATTTAACATCAGAGAGAATTCTTTCTAATTAGTTGTTTGCTTCTGACTAAAGGGTGCCTTCCTTATTCATCTCGGGAGGTACTGAGACTTAGGCAATTTTATAACTTTATTTTCTCATGTTACAGATCTTTCCAAAGTTAGCACATAAGTTTTCTCATGGCTATTTTCCATTTCTTTTGCAATCTTGATATTCAAAAGACAATGTGCATTTTAGTGGATGTTTAAAAAATGGATAAACAAATATAATCGACTAACCTTTAATTATTACACAGTTTAAGAATATTCCACAACCTATATAATATACCATGAATACCACACCCACATTTAAATATATCTGTGGTGTGCATGTCCACACGTGTGCATGTATATATACATGTACACACACGCATGTGCAGTATATACATGCACATATATACTCATACATATAAGTGGATGTACATGCATATATGTATACACAAACATACTCATATCCTTCCCCCCAAAAAAGCCCCAATCTATTGAAAGTATAGAAGTTAGGTGGTGGTATTATGCACTAACACGTGTATTTATTAAGCTGAAATTCTTTGAAATGACTTGCAAATATGTGTTCCCAAAGACATATTTTCCTGAAATGTAAAACAAGGAAAAATGTCTTTTTCGGAAACTTTTGGTGGTGGTGGTAGTAGTATCTAACTGTAGGGTTACTGTCTGTATGAGGAGGTAGTCACATGGCAGAGGAGTTCTAGAATTAGGCACGTGTTCAGTACTTGAAGTTAAAGAACATGGTCAGAAAATAACAAAGCTATTAACTTCAGACTTCACAATTTCAAACAAAGAAAACAAATGAGACTTGGATATCTGGGCCCCAGAGGCCACTACAGTCATAAGTAACTCTCATGAATGTCACAAACTGAGAGCTCTCAGAACCAACCTGCCTTTTGTTATTAGTCATATTATTTGTTTGTGTTCATGGCTCTCTTTAGGCAAATATCTCTTCTTAGTAACACAATTAAGATAAAAGCGAAGAAAGGGGCCGGGCGCGGTGGCTCACGCCTGTAATCCCAGCACTTTGGGAGGCCGAGGCGGGTGGATCACGAGGTCAAGCGATCAAGAGCATCCTGGTCAACATGGTGAAACCCCGTCTCTACTAAAAATACAAAAAATTAGCTGGGCATGGTGGTGCGTGCCTGTAATCCCAGCTATTCAGGAAGCTGAGGCAGGAGAATTGCCTGAACCCAGGAGGCGGAGGTTGCGGTGAGCCGAGATCGAGCCATTGCACTCCAGCCTGGGTAAGAAGAGCGAAACTCTGCCACAAAAAACAAACAAACAAAACAACAACAACAAAAAAAAAAAAGCAAAGAAAGAAGGAAAAGGGAGGAGAGGAGCTCAGGGGAGTCAAACTCACTTTTACAAAGTAATCTGCTATTCAAACCATCTGAGCAGAAACATACTGTGGAGAAATTTAATAATGTTAACCTATTAAACTTTATGAAAACCTGTGCCGCAAAATGGAGCACTACACAGAGGAACTAATGATCCGAAGCTGCAATTAGCTGGGCCGCATTGATGGCATATATAATCCAGGCACTTTAAACATGAAAACTTGAGAAAACGTGGAGACAATTCAGAATGGAAGGCCATTCTCTGTATCATTTCAGCTACGCCTTAACATGTGTGCTTACTGAGCACTTGCTGTGTGGCAGGTTTGCCCTTGAGTACCATGTGGAAATACACATATGGGTAAATCCTGTAGGCAGAAACCATATTTTTGCATCTCTTTGTCTAAAATATCCAGCATATGTCAGGCCTCATAATTCATTCTCAAAAGCTGTTTGTTAAATTCACTTAAAATGTAGAGTTACTGTCTATAGGAGTAGGTAGTCAGATGGCAGAACAAAACAAAACTATATGTAAGAAGTAGCAAACAAGGTAAGTGCTGAGATAAGGTGAAGCAGTGAAGTGCCAAGGGAATAATCATCTGCATGTGAAAGTGAGGGATGGAAGTAACTCAGATGGTGGGTATTGCAAGAATAAATGTTAAGAGGAAAGAATGTGTGGCGTGTATTCAACAGATAATTCAGGAGATCAGCTGGGATGGTTGGTTGGTGGTAGTAAGAAACGGCAGATACAGTTAGACAAATGCAGTGGGACCACATTGGGAATCTTGGCTTTTATCTTTTAGAAAAACTGTCAGCATTTAAAGTTTTAAAAACATAATGAATGGATTGAAGCATAAAAGAATATTAGAGGCAGAGTCAGCAAATAGACTGCGTCAGTAATTTAGTGTGAGCTGATTCAATAGCTTCATATACTGAAATGATACCTATATAAGGACCTAACTTCAAGTATCTTTAGAGGAAAGAGTATGAGCTTTGCAGAAAGACAGACATGTTGTTAAATCCTGGCTCTGCTTCTTTCTGGCTGTCTGGTTTTGGGAAAAAAAATAATATTTTTGAATCTTATTTTTTTCATCTGTAAATGAGCATAAATCTCCAAGCTTTCAGGATGTCTAATAATACAAAACAGAATAGATATTTAATAAATTTCAATTATATTCCTTTCACATGACCTATAAATCCCAGCTCTTTCTGTAGCCCAGGTAATTTGACCTTTACCAAATTATCACTGAGAGCTCTGAAATTAACCCTATGTATAATTAAGGAGAGTTAGTATAGTATCCAGATGCCTCAGAATCTTCTCTCTTTCTCCTTTTCTCCATGTATGTGTGTCTTTTTCTCCATCCTTCCCTCTTAGCAACACATACCTCCTACCCTCATTATTTATGAGTCCTACTCAAACCATATGCATTTATGAGAAGGAAAGCCTTCATGAGTAGGTTATGATTACCTTTGTTTCTCGCCCCAAGGCACTAGAAACTGATTACTAGATCTTTTTGTGGAGAACATAACTCCTTCCTCCAAGTTTTTCACCCCAATCAGAGAAGCATACTTTCTGTTTACCTTTTTCCCCTCAAGCAATTTAACTGCTTTGCAGTAGGGAGAAGCTTGATTTGCATACAGAAAACAATAATTCTTTCTCAAAGTAAAAAGTAGCATGGTTTGGCAGAAAGAGTACAAGATTTGGACAGGCAGTTTGGAGTTCAAAGCTTTGTTTTGCTACTTACACCCCAGATGTGAAACCTTAACTTTGCTGTTTTGAGTACTGTTTTTTCCTACTAAAAATGAGAAAATGGTAAATTCTGCATTGCAGAGTTGTTGAATTAAGTGAGATATCTTATGTAAAGCTCTTGTATCAGCGATACAGCAGTATAAATTGGCCCCAATTAATTTCTGGAATCAAACTACCTTTGTTTGAAATACAATCAGTTTTCTGTCTCCATAGGTTCCACATTTGTGGAATCGCATTCATAGATCCATAACCATAGAACAAAAATAGTCAGAAAAATAATAGGAGGGTTGTTTTGGTACTGAACATGTATAGTCTTTTTTCTTGTCATTATTGTGTAAACAATATAGTACAACAAATATATGCGTAGCATTTATACTATATTAGGTATTACAAGTGACCTAGAGATGATTTAAAGTACACAGGAGAATGAAGGTAGGTTATATACAAATCAATTTTATATCAGAGACTTAAGCATCTGTAGATTTCAGTGTCCACGGGGAGTCCTGGCAGCATTCCCCCATGGATACTGAGGGATAACTACTTACTAGCCATAAGTCCTTTGGGCAACTTATTTTTCTTCTGTCTCATCTATATAGAATGTGCATAATAATGAACCTACCTCTTTATTTATTTATTATTATTATATTTTAAGTTCTGGGGTACATGTGCAGAATGTGCAGGTCTGTTATCTAGGTATACATGTGCCATGGTGGTTTGCTGTATCCATCACCCCGTCATCTACATTAGGTAATTTTCCTAATGCTATTGCTCCCCTAACCCCCACTCCTTGCAATCCCTCCCCTAGCTCCCCACCTCCTGACAGGCTCCAGTGTCTACGTGTTCTCATTGTTCAACAACCAGAACCTACCTCTTTAAATTTTTGTTGATATTAAGCAAGCTAATTTGATAAAGAGTTTTTAAGTATCCTTTCTGAAACACCTACTGAGTAAGCCCTCAATAAATATTAGCTCTTGTCATCTCAGTACTGCTTCCTTCTACAGTTTTATTTTTAGAATCCAGTACTGATCTATGTACACACACACATGCACACATATATATGTGTATACATATATATGTATACATATACGCATATACACAAATACATACACACATACATATACACACACACATTTTAACATCACGCTTGCTCTATCCAAGTTTCCTACATCTTCCCAAGGAAAACTATTCAAGTCTGAGCTCCTAGACATTACTGTTTGCTTACAACATTTCCAAGAAATTCGTCCAAGACATTATTCTTAAAGAAGAACATACCATAGCTCTGTTTCCACCCAAGTGGCTAGCTATAGTAATGAGTTATTAATCAGAGAAGGTTCTGGCATCAGAGATTTCTACCTGCAGAAATGGATGACCCAATAGTTAGGTGGGATGCAGCTATGACAGTCTAGGGGCATCTATCATTCTAGAGCAGCTGTCTGGAAGTCAATGGCAGGAGAGCCTGGAAACCGTAGGCAAAATGGCCTTGGGTAATGCACTAAGGCTGATCATGAGTACCCTAGTTCCTGCCTAGTGAGAATTCACAGGAATAAACCTCTTTCTTCTTTTGGAAAGATTAATGGGAACTAGGATACAATGTTGAAATTGGTTGTAGAAAAAAACAGCTCACTTTTCAGAACTAGCAACAGACAAAAACAAAAGAGGATGAATTCCCACTTATTGGAAGGTGATTCATGAGGTTGTCTTAATTTAGTGAGAAATCCACTATATATGTAGGCATCTAGATGTGGTAGGAATAGTACAGACAAGGAAAGGACTGTGTCAAGTGTAAAACCAGAAGAAAAAAATCTAAGTAAGGTGTGTCTGGAGATGGATCAACCTATCTCGCTTAAGCAATGCTGTATTTACTGTCTAAAGCACTAAGTTGAAGGCTAAGAGCTCATATTTCTCTTTTAGGAAGTAGGAAGCCATTAAAATTTTAAGCAGAGAGGTGGAATAATGCATGCAGTGCTTTAGAAATCTTCTCTGCTTGTGTACACAACATATTTTAAAGTTGTAAGGAACTTTGTATAATGATAGAACAGACAACATATTTTATTTTATTTTATTTTATTTTCCCATTTATTTTATTGCATTTTAGGGTTTGGGGTACATGTGAAGAACATGCAAAATTGTTGCATAGGAACACACGTGGCAGTGTGATTTACTGCCTTCCTCCCCATCACCTACATCTGGCATTTCTCCCCTTGCTATCTCTCCCCAGCTTCCCACCCCCCACCGTCCCTCCCCTATTTCCCCCCAACTGACCCCAGTGTGTAGTGCTCCCCTCCCTGTGTCCATGTGTTCTCATTGTTCAACACCCGCCTATGAGTGAGAACATGCGGTGTTTGATCTTCTGCTCTTCTGTCAGTTTGCTGAGAATGATGGTTTCCAGGTTGATCCATGTCCCTACAAATGGCCCAAACTCATCGTTTTTTATGGCTGCATAATATTCCATGGTGTATATGTGCCACATTTTCCCTATCCAGTCTATCGTCATATTTTAAAGGTGTAAGGAACTTTGTATAATGATAGAACAGACAACGGTTAAGAAATAATTCAAAACTTTGCATAATGATAGAATGAGCAACAGTTAAGAACTAATTCTGTTGATAGTCCAGGTTTGAGGAAAAAGCCTGTCTTGCATTGTTGAAGTATAAGTTAAAAGTCTTGAAGATACATTTGAATTTCAGCTTATATTCATATTCAGGATGTGCTAATATGAAAACATAACCAAAATACACCTCTATTAGTTTTTCTAATAAGGAAGTTTCTACCTAATTGTAACTTTGTACCTGTTTACCAAATCTCACTATCTCCCCATTCTCACCACATTGCCTATCCTCTGGTAACCACTAGTCTACCCTCTACTTCCATGAAATCAGCTCTTTTGGCTCCCACATATGATTGTGATGACGCAATATCAGTCTTTCTGTGCTTGACTTATTTCACTTAACAAAATTTTCTCTAGTTTCATCCATGTTGCTAAAAATGGCAGACTTCATTTTTTTAATGGCCAAATAGCATTTAATTATGTATGTATAACATTTAAAAAACTTATTTGACCTTTGGGAGAAAAAAGTTTTGGCACTCTATTACACTATAATGTGACTATGGTTAAAAATATTGTATTATATATTTCAAAATAGCTAGAAGAGATAATTTTGAATGTTCTCACTACAAAAAATAATAAATGTACAAGATCATAAATACAGCAAAATATTCTGATTTGATGATTATACAATGTATGCTTGTATTAAAACATCACACTATACCCCATGATATGTATAATTGTTATGTCAATTAGAAACAAAATAAAAATCATGAAGTCCCTGAGAAGGGGCTTTTTTATTTAAAAAAAATATACATATATATATGTATATATATATATGTATATATATAATAATAAATCCTGTTGTTTAGGGATTATTTAAACTTACAAATAACCCTTAAAGGTAAAATAAATAAGAAAGCACACACATTCAAAACTTTTTATAATGATAAGACAGCCAACAAGTGTAAAGAGAAAAAAGAAAGGTAAGATATATTATATTACTATGATATGCTGTTAAGTAATAGTTACTCTATCTGGTGGATTAAGTGATGCAGCTAATGAATTTGTTGGTGAGCTACAGACGATGGGTTACTCAATGGTGTGACTATCCTTAACTATGCCCTGGTAACTAATCTTGCTTTCTGTAGCTGACCTATCCCCTTTCTTCCAAACACTCTAAGATATATATTTTCCTTTTTAAAAATATTTTTCAGAGTAAACTTGACAATCTAAAATATGTTGGTCAATTTTTACTTTTGGCAGAAAAGGCAAAATATATAATAAGACTCTACATGCATTAACTAAAGAGCGAGTCTACATTTTACATTTCTTAGAGTGCCAGGTCCTTTCTTCACCGTTCTTTCCAGGGAAATATATTCTCAGCTTCCAGAACAGCAAAAAAATGGAAAATAAGTTATGGACTTACAAACTCAGTGATGAGTTTCCAGTCAGGCAACTATGGCCATGTATTCCAGAACTTAAAGTAAAATAAAAAAAGAAAAAGAAAAAGAAAATGTGTCAATTCATCCACCAATGGACGTTTGGGTTGTTTCCCATATACCTTGACAATTGTGAATGATGCTGCAACGAATATGGTGGCACAAATAACTCTTCAGCATCCTGATTTTAATTCTTTTGTATAAATACCCAGAAGTGGGATTGTTGAATCATATTTTAATTCTATTTTTAGTTTTGGTATATTCATGGAGTGGGATATTACTCAGCCATTAACAAAAGGAAAATCTATGAAATGTAACAACATAGATGAAACTTAAGGATGTTATGCTAAGTGAAATAAGTCACAGAAGGACAAAAAAAGAAAGAGGGTCACATCCCATGAGTCAGGGCTGGAGCAACATTTGTCAAAATGAATACCATGATGAATAAGAGATCTTCTTAAAATGAATTAGACTCTCTGGGGCTGAGGCCTGGCATCTGTATATTTAATCAGATCCTCAAGTGAATTGAATCATGCTAAAATTTGAAAATTACTAGTTTATCTTTTCCTGACACACATCCTTCTTTTCCTCCTAGGACTCACTGCATTGTTTCCTCGCTAAAAATAAATACTTACTAGAGTGGTAGCTCCATCTGAGACATTCAAAATTGTAAATGTCAAATTATGTGTATGCATGTGTTTTGTGCACATGTGCGCATATTAAGTCTATAGAAAATACCTCACCAACTGTTACTTTGTGCTCTGCATAAAAGGTTCATCTCTTTTGTACAACTTTTTGGGTCATTTTTTAAGTGATAAAAAGTGGATAAGCCAAATGAGGAGAACATTTCCCAAGCTTCCGTGCAGGAGGTTGAGAACTTGCAACTACGTTCTGATCAATGAAACAGAGGAAGAATTTATATGTACCATGTCCAAGAATGTTTCATAAACTATTTTTTAACTCTGTCTCTGTGTGTCGGAGCCAGTCAGTGAAGGACTGTACTATGGAGTAATGACTTGTGACTTATCTGTTTGTTAGCATTTACTTTCTCTTCAGGTCCTTGAGGTTCTTAGGTATTCCTAATTATTCTCATAATACATACAAACTTGACTTTTTCATACAATACATACCCCATGACCCTTTCCATCATTGTCACCCTTCTTCAGAGTGAAGAAATTTTCTGGTTAAATTTGCTTATGTTGTTGTTTATTAAGGTAAAGACTAGTCTGATAAGCTTAATGGGGAGTTAATGGCTTAATTTTCTCTCATTTAATTAATGTGTTAAGTATTTCTAGTTAATTAAATAATAAATGGATTTAAACTAAGTTCTTTAACTTGAGGCTGTTTGGAGTTTTTTCCTGACTTTCTTTCTACCCCCAAATCCCATTAATGCTCGAAAACACACTTTGCTCAAGCCAAAGAGTCTTTGTTCATTTTACCCAAGGCGTGTTTCCCACTCTAAGCTTTCTTCATGTTGGATGAGCTGCTCACTAACTCTTCCCCAAAGGCAGTTCCTTTCCAGACCTCAAGGTCTACCCTTATTCTCAGTCTTCCTCGATGATCCATAACAAAGGCCTCTCTCTTGCTACATGATTCCTCTAATAGAACTTTTTTCAACAAATATGTGTTGTTTATATAAGATGCATCAGGCAGTGGGGTTATAAGAAAATAAAACTCAATCTTTCTTGTCCAGGAATACATCATGCCATAAGTATAAATAAAAAATATAATAAAAAGAGATGAAATGTAAGGAGTTACATTTAGTGGAGAAGTGCAGTGTATGATTGATTGACATGTAAGGTGTATAACTTTGTTATGCTAGGTATCTATTACACCATGCTTTTTTTTTTTTGGTATACAATGTGTGGAAATTATGGATTACTCTTTATTAGATATGCCTAGGAATATGTTTTAAACCCAATCAAAGCCAGAAAGAAACAGGGACAACTGAAGATGAAATACATTTTTTAAAAGCATCAGGGGAGAATGAGCTAGTTATGTAGGAGTAATGTGCTATTTGCAAGGTTAGCATTCAAGAGGTTTTGCTCGTTTCCACAAACCTTCTTGGAATCTGCCGCTATCATGTGAACAGGCCCAAGCTAGCCTGCTCTATAGTGAGACAGAAGACCCAGAACTTCTGTCTTCCTGATGATAGCCACTGGTCAAACCCCCCTACCAGTTGACAAAAGACACGAGAGCAAGCAAGTTTTGCATCAGCAAAGCCTGCCACCCGTCTACAGAATTGCCCAGTTGCTCCATAAGCTTAACAATAATTAATAATCTTTGATTTAGGCCACTAAATATAGAGTGGTTTGTTACCCAGCAAACACCAAACATTAACTTATATACCTGATTAGTAGTTTAAAGGGCTTAAAATGGGAAGAAATGATATAATAGTAATTAATAGTAATAGCTTACATTTACTGAGCATTTGATATGTGTGAATTACGGTTTGTATATGTACTGAATGATACTGTGTGTGAGTGTCCCCTGAAAACCACCCTGAATGGTAATACATTATTCTTCTCCTCTTTATAGATTAGGAAACTCAGACCAAAAGTAGTTAAGTAATATGAGCTAACACAAAAAGCTCTAAGGAATAAAGTCGACATTTGAAGCAACTTTCTTGTTTCCTATCTTTGTAACAACTGTCTTGTATCTTGTATTGCCTTTTAGTACAAAGAGCAGATCAGAACTAATGTCAACATGGGTTAAAATGGCCCTTTGATATGCTTCTCCTGGATGTTCTCACTAATTTCTGTGGCTCCATAATGAATCATATAAGTCTTAATATGCCAACTACCTATGACAAATTTCATTTTTTTTAAGAAACAAACATAGTTCCCATCTCAGTTTCTTGTTTCAGTTATTTAATGCAAAAGAGAGATACTGATGAAAGTTTCATGCCCAATGAGGAACCATGGAGTAAGACTTTGGAGCGGTTTGAGACTGAGGTTCATGAATACAGGTAGAAATTTTCTACATTTACCCAAAGCAGCCCCTAATATTCACTAAGGTAACTGGAGCTTTGAGATAACCAGGTAATAATAGTGACATTTTTCATAAGTGGAAACGACTGCACATTATAGGTCATTCCCAAACTCACAAATTAATATCGTTTCTTTTTTAACACATAACCATTTTATTTATTTATTTATTTATTTATTTATTTATTTATTTTTAAATTTTTTAAAGACAGAGTCTCACTCTGTCGCCAGGCACCAGGCTGGAGTGCAGTGGTGCGATCTTGGCTCACTGCAACCTCCACCTCCCGGGTTCAAGCAATTCTCCTGCCTCAGCATCCCAGGGAGCTGGGGACTACAGGCACACGCCACCATGCTCAGCAATTTTTTTTTTTTTTTTTTTTTTTTGTATTTTTAGT